TGATTGCTAGTATCACTCAGCCCTCTGTGAATAGTAAACAGCCATCAGTGTGCTAATGATCCATTGTTAGGCTGATGGTCCATTCTTGAGCTGGTTTTGGTTGTCAGCAGCAAAACTGGTTGATCCACTCTGAGAAGGTGCTATTTAAGAGACTGAGCTGAAAACAGCACCTCAGACTGAGGAAGTCTCTTGGATGAGAGACGAAACGTTTCTATATTTTTTTGCTTTGTTTTTTTTTTGTTTGTTTGTTTATTTTGAATGTCCAGAGGACCAGACTGAACTTTTTTGGATTTTTCTACCTGGATTATTGAGCATGCATCAGGATATGTTGAATGAATAATTTAGCCTTTCATCATTGATCAAAGTGTTCAGCTCATTCAGGGAATGGGTGCTGTTACTTTTGTTTCTTCTACCTTTTATATATTTTTTTTAAAGTTCATTTTATTTACAAATGTTTTCCCCATAAAATAAATAAATAAATCAATAAACTGAGATCTATTCAATTCCTTGAAGACATGTTTCTCTTTGATAGGCCAGGGGACAATCCTGTTTCAAATTCAAATTCAAATTCAAAAATACTTTATTAATCCCAAAGGGAAATTATTTGTTGTTGTAACTCGTTATCCTCATTTCATTGAGAGATGTTATAGATGCTGATGGCTGTAGGCAGGAAGGATCTCTTGTAAAGATCCATCCCACAGTGGATCCTAAGAAACTGGCTGCAGATGCCATCTGATCCGTCCATCCAGACTCGACTGGCATCTTGGTTCCCCTGGGCTGTAGGACCGTCCGAATGCCGGACAGAACTCCTCCCAGAGCGATGGCCACTACTCCCAGCAGCCTGCCAAGCTCCTCATCGCTGTGGACAGGCAACTGTAGGTGCCGAGGGATGATCCTGTACTTCCGCTGTCATGAGCCATGTTTCCTGCTAGTTCCAGGATCTCAGTGGTCAGGCACTCGAGCACAGCCAGTAGGTAGATGGGAATGCATCTCTGGCGCCTCCGTTTCAACTCATTTGAGATTTGGGGCTGTAGTTGAGATATTATTTGAGCTTTCGAGATGTTTATCAGCTGCTGTTGGTTGTAGAAATCTGCCTTGTTGCCATGGTTACGCATCATAAATGTCCAAAACTAAAAAAAAAAAAGTTTCAGTAAAAATCCTTCCAGCTGCACAGCATCCGATACCAGAGGAAACAATCATCAAAAAAATGTGATTTACATCCAGAAAAGGATGAATTAAAGTTTCCAAAAGTAAAATCTCAGAATGAAAGTAACAGAGCTGCTCCAACATGCAGCCACCTTGAGCGGCGCAATTCTAGAACATGTTTCTGGGTGTGCAGTAACTCACTGGGAGCAAACAAACCTCAAGATGGTGTTAAGTTCCCATAGAAAGATCTGCTCCTGAAGTAACAATGAAGCAAGTCAAATATACAGAACTTACATATATTACTTTTTTATTACAAACTAGCTATATTCACATAAATATGTTTATTTTTGTACTTTCATTCACTCTGAATCCATAATTAATTGCTCTTTGATATGTATGAAATAAATTACTCTGCCAATCAAAGTACAACACCAGCCTGACTCGCTCTGTTGGCTCATTTCTTTTGATATGATTAGGTCCAACTTGTAGCTGCACACATACTGCATGACCGCACAGATTTTACAGTTGGTCTGTAGATTATTTTTTTAAGGTGATCTTCACGTCCAAATCTGTGAAAAGGTCCCATTAAAATCCATATATCCAATATCTTTACTTGCGTCTTCCTTTTCGGGTCATGGGGGTCACTGGTGCCCATATCCAGCGGTCACTGTGGAGAGGCGGGGGACACCCTGGACAGGTCTCCAGTCCATCACAGGGACACATACAAATGAGACAAATAACCATTCACTCTCTCACTCACACCCAGAGACATTAGAGTTACCAATCAGCCTAACATGCATGTTTCTGGTCTGAGAGAGGAAAATGGAGTACCCGGAGAAAACCCATGCAGCACGGAAAGAACATGAAAACTCCACCCAGAAAGGCCCCTGGACAAGGATTTGATCCAGCAACCTTCTCGCTGAGAGGCAGCAGCTCTACCAGATGTGCCAACGTGCTGCCCAGCCCAATAAAATTTGAATCTTATTTCAATTATAGTGAACAGAAATATAAACTACACTTTTGTCTCTGCTCCCAGTTCTCATGATATGAACTCAAAGATTTGAGACTTTTTCTACAAACACAAAAGACCGTTTTCTCTCAAATTTTGAGCAGAAATGAGTGTAAATCTGTGTTAGTGAGCACTTCTCCTTTGCCCAGATAATCCATCCACCACACAGGTGTGCTTTAGGCTGACCACAATATTTGTTTATTATTTGCAATCTTTAAAAAATAATACAATATACAATACTATCAAAGAGCAACAACCACAAAACACAAACAACACATAGCTTACCTTTCATAGCAAACACTGCATGGCAAAAATCTTTGAAGTTGATTTTTCCATGAACGTTAGGACTCAGATGCTTTTTCAACTTCTTCACCTGTAAATAAAAACAAGGCAGGTTGTTTTTTCCTTTACAAATCCCCAGTTGGCCTTGATTACATTATCACAGACATTTATCAACAAAACGTTGGTTACATACTGTAACCCCAGATTCTATGAGTATAGGCTTCGCCCTTTAAGGCTGTCGCTGGTGGGTTTATCCCTAGGTGCTCAGCGCTGCACTGAAAACTTTAGTCCACGCCCACCTGCTGTGTGTGGGCCTCACCCCCGGTCCGTATAAATTACGGTGAGACCGGGTAATCGGCTCCCAAAATAGCTTTCTTTCTTCAGCCATTTAGGAACCAGTGAGGCCCAGAGCTTAAAGGGCCTATACTCATACAATCTGGGGTTACAGTACGTAACCAACGTTGTATTTCGTTTAGACTTCGCCCTTTAAGACTGTCGCTAGTGGGTTAAAGGCAAAGCAGGATGTAGTCTATGCCTCACTGGGTCCACTCAGACACAACATGAAGCACCTGCTTGCACAAAAAAAACATTTCATCACTCAGCCTTCTGTGTGCGTAATTACGCGCTGCGTAATTGCGTGCTCCATGCGCAGGAGCGCGCCGGAGAAAAGATCTCTGGTGAGGAACAGAGGCTGAGATAGCAGACCTGCTGCTGTGAATAGGAACAACGGAGGATACGAACTGTAACAGTGTAACAATAAACAGAGCAGACCAACAGTTCCTCAGGATGAACCGGTTAATAACAATAAAATCAGCAGTCATGAACTTGTGACTGATAATAAATATCTTACACTGCGACTGCATGCAGGCAGGTGTGAGCTCAAAAGTGAGGCTCCATGAAACAAATATTCTGTTAGATCCCTAAGAACAGAATGGGTCATGGAGAAAGTAGAACCATCACGTAGATAAAAACAAATAATTCAACATGGCGATTACCAGGCAGCTGCCATACAAATATTCTCCACCGTCATCCCTCCATGCAGAGCCATGGAGGATCAAAACCCTCTGGTGGAATGCACTGAGATTCTCTGGAGGATCCAGTCCAGATGAACTGTAAACTTCAGAAATAGCCTCACACAACCAGTGTGAGAGACGCTGGGTGGATAGAGGACATCCTGAAGAGCTGTCCCAGTAATGCACAAACATACGCTGAAAGCGGCGCAATGCGACCGTGTGCACCACGTAACATGAAAAATGCGCACATGGGACAGAAGGAGGTGAGATGTTGCTTCCTCCTCAGAATTATGAGGAAGAGGATAAAACCCATCCAAGGTTATCACTCTCAATCTGAATGAGATGGTGATGCTTTTCAGAGCAGAGTTAAAACGTAGTAAAGCTGAACAGCCGTCAGCTTGAATTCTGAGACATGAGGGAGCAACAGAGAGAGCAGATAATCACTCACTCTCTTTGCAGACGTCAGAATGAACAGCAGGGCTGTTTTAAATGACAGAAATTTAAGTAAAACCTGATCTAAAGGCTCAGAATGAGCTTTGATCAGAGCATGCAGGACCATCATTAGGTCTCACTGTGAAGCTAGTGGACGTGACACCGGTCTGTGTCTCCATACAACTTCCAAGAAACACTTCATTAACGAGTGATTAAGAACTGTTTTGTCACCGAAGCCCTCGTGACAGGAAGAAATAGCTGCAGCATAAGTTTTAATTATGCTGAACGCTAGATCTCTGTCCATCAGCTACTGCAGAAAGGACAGCATGCCACCTAGTGGCCATGAGATGGCCTCCACACCTTTCTCTGTGCACCAACGCTGAAAACTGTCCACTTGATGTGTACAGCGTTGTGGTGGAAGCAGCTCGTGCACCCTGAACGTACGCACCACATCCTGTGGGAGGCCCATCTTTTCTAAACGGATCTGTTCAGCGGACAAACCCAAAGATGCTGACCTATTTCTAGGTAACTCCTGATCGTTCTTCCTGCCTGGAGGAGAGCACACCCCCACAGCAGTTTCTACAGCCGAACCGATATCAGTCGCTGCAGATTCGGGAACCATGGAGCGCATATGCGTTCAGGAGCTACGAGGATGACTGACGGTTCTTCCTCCCGGACCCGATGCAGGGTCCGTGATATCAGCAGGACTGGAGAGAACGCATAAAAGAGCATTTTTGGCCGCGGGCTGTGAGCGAAGGCATCCACTCCTAACGGTGGGTCGTCTCGTGGGCTCAGTGAGAACCATAATTGACACTGGGCGTTCTCCCGTGTGGCGGACAGATCCACTGCTGCTCGGCCAAACCTGCTCCAAATCCGAGAAATCAGGTCGGGATGGAGGCTCCAGTCTCTGTGGCGGGAACCGCCCCTCGACATGATATCTGCTTGCCTGTTCAGGACACTGGGAAAGTACACTGCTCTGATGGAGAGCAGGTTTCTGTGTGGCCAACACAACAGCTGTTTCGCCATACGTAACAGTTGGGCTGAGCGCATGTCTCCCTGACGGTTTATGTAAACTGCCGTCACCTTGTTGTCTGTATGGATCAGAAAATGCTGATCCCACAGCAGGGGCAAAATGCTGAGTCACGTTTCAGACTGTGAAAAACATTCTAGCACATTATGTAAAGCAACATGTGGTCCAGCCACAATGCTCTCACTGCTTGGGACTGACACATTCCTCCCAGCTTGACAGGAACACGTCTGTGAAACTTGAGACGTGAGACATAGGCCTGCTGATGGGAACTCTCTCTGACAGAATGAGGGGGTTTCCCCAGTGATTCAGATCGGTTCTCATGGAGGGGGGGGCACAAAGATAATCCACCTCTTCTGGCGCACAGGATCTATGTGCAGGCGGGCGAACCATCTCTGAAGGCGTCTCATGTGAGGTAGGCCCAGCGGAAACACAATGTGGGCCGCTGACATCGTCTCAGGAGTCGAATTACAGGCAGAACTGTCACTATGCTGCAGGGTTTGACAAGGCGGAGCTGAACTGACAGAGCTTTGGCTCTCAGCTGTGATAAACGGCTCTCATTGTAGTTGAGTTTAGCTCCACTTCCAGATAATCACCTGGGATGGATGAACGGAAGTTTTTCCCAGTTTATAGAAATCCCAGGTTTAGTAGGTTTAACACTAGCGTTTTGGTCTGTGCGACAGCTTTCTATCAGGACGGAGCTAATAAGAGCAGATCGTCCAGATAAAAAGATTTCTCATTCCTGCCATGTGTAACGACTGCAGAGCCATCTCCACGCATTTCGAGAACGTGCGTGGGGTGTTTCAGAATGATGGAAATGTGAAAATATGCGCTCTTCAGATCTATGGAGATGAAAACCAGTCGTTCTGGTGAAGTTCTCCAGCAGATGTTTGTCAGCATGTGGAATTGTCTCCCCATTTTTTTTCCTGCTTTTTTATGGTGAAACCAGATGTGTCCCCGCCCCCACACACACACACACACACTTCCCTGCTGCGCTCTTTTGTCCTGTGAACCCTTAAAAAGCCTCTTTTTTTCCTGTATACCTCTTAATTCGAAGGATCAGCTGGTCTCTCAACAAAATCGATCAACTTCTCCTGACAGGAGTCAGGGTAAGGAGGACCCTCTACCTCTAAGGAACAAATTGGATTCATGATGACAACTAGATTCTACAGTTTGGTTGGTGAAATCTGGTTGTCTACAAATTCGTGTGGATGTATTGAAGCTTGACAGTGCTCGGAGTGAACGTAGAGCTGTGACAGGGAATTGGAGCAGCTGTATCAGGACTGTGATCTCCCTGGCAGCACTCATGAATGGTGGAATAATCTGGAGAAGCTGTGAGCTCGACTTTTGGAGTAAAGGATCAATTCAGCTGTTTTGGAGTTTCCATCAGAGAATATGTACCAGCAAGACTTTAAAGGCAGAAACAACAATTCACGAGTTCTGCCTGACCCAAATTGTGGCCTTGACGCCGGCCTTATCTCAACTCCTCCTGGAATGTTTAGAAAACAACAAAGATGCTTTGACTGTTTCCTCACCCCTCCCTTCCCCAAGGCCGTGGACATGTAACAGACCTCAACTGAGCTGAAGATGAATGTCACCTCTTATCTGGACAATGGCTGGGGGGGGGGGGGGGGGGGGGGGGGG